GAGAGAGAGAGAGAGAGAGAGAGAGAGAGAGAGAGAGAGAGATTCCGAATGGTTTAAGGCAGTTTTTGTTAACTCTAGCTCCCACTGACCTGGTTTAGCATGTGTGTGTATGAACGTCTTATGTCGCACAGTGTTGGGTAGAGCAAACTATTGAACGGAAAGATAACAAGCAAGACCCCTTTGAAATGCATAGCATAGTTTTTAAGTGTCAATTAGAAACACCTGTGAAGACTGTTGAGGTAAGACATGTGTGTTACTCGACTGGTGCGTGCTATTATGTGTACAGTTAGTGGCTGTGCTTCTTAAGGATTTAAAAGGCAAGGATAAAAGAGGCAGAGTAGATATGGGCTTTGATATTTTCCCCTTTCTAAGATGGAATGTGATAGTTCAACACATAGATCACACACCCTACAAGAAAAAGGCCAAGTATCGTGAGGTTGAAAGTATGGTTTATCATTTTGTGCCATTGCACTGTATACCTCAAGGAGGAAGTTCGAGGTTATCTTAAACTATCTTAGAAGTTACAGACTATTTCGCTACTTGTGATGAATCACATGCTATTGTTGTTTGTTTCTAAAGAGTCAATTCACGTTATGACATTCGAAACGTTCCCATTTGTATTGTAATTGTAACTATTAATAACTTACGCCTTTGGAGACACTATTTGGATTATATAGAGAGCTGGTTGCTTCGACTCTGCCTCTCAGGGCCAACTCAGAATGAGATGGATACAACATCTTAGCAATCAGACAGCGAAAGGCGATTTTAAAAAACCTCCTTGTTTAAGAATCGAACTCATGTGTGGCTTCTAAGAGAGCAAGGGCAACGAGCCTACCACTATACCACAGCTGTCAGCCAATTGTCTCGTGATCACATGCTATTGTTGTTTGTTTTTAGTATATCAAGCATCTAATGACAAGCAAAATGTATTCAATTACCGAGCAAGCATTATATCGTGTACGGGGTATACATTAAAAAGTTGTTGCTGTAAGACAGCACTTGGTGTTTTATGGACAGTGCACGTTGCCCTCGGCAGCGAAGCGTTGTAACGTGCATGTCGTTTTTGCAAGTAACCCAACTGTAGAGACAGTGCGACCCGCAGGGTTTGGCTTGGTGCATGACAGGAAGTAGCTCTAGACAAGTTTAACACCCCCCCCCCCCAACCACGGTATAAAGAAAAGGAATCCGGAGAAGCGCTCGTTGGTTTTGTTGAGGTGGTAAGTAGTACATTGTACACTGAATCACCTTTTCTGGTAAATCTGTTTTTTTCATCGCTTAGAAATCAATTATTGATCCATTTGTCCATTCGATTTTTCTTTGCGTGTATCTCAGAATTTCGAATGGCTTTTCCCATTACAGTAGCAAACCATTCCATGCTGTATGGTTGTTCACCTATCTTAGCAATCTACAATGTCCACGATTTTCACACTCAAACGACAATTAGAGACAGGAATATCTGGGATTCGCTCCCCGTCGGGAGAGATTACGCTTACTTCAAACCACTGTATTTTGTAGTTCTTGCAGTTTCTCCCCAAATGGACGTGGGAGAATATTGCTAAGTCTCTTAAGTGCGCCTGAGTAGGAAGAAATTGACAAATCAAAGTCGCACTTTGGTTTTTGCCAACAATGTTGCTTTGTCTGTTAAAGTGTTGAATAAGAAGAATTTGGTAAATAAAAGTCGCAATTTTTTTGTTGCCAACAAGACTATTTTTTGTGTGACCTTAGGTGAAAACTCCACCTCATGTGAAGTATAGTTCAAGAGCTGCAAGTTGACACTACAATATGTACAGCGATAAGTTGTAGAGGATAAAAAAGGCTTGGCGGGCTACAGAAATAACACAGTGATGGAAAGAAATCGCTCTTCTTATATCGACGTATCTCCCCTTCTATCCTTCACGTGTTTGCCGTCGTTCTTCTTTACAGCCTTTTAATGTCTGGCTGTCTCTCTTGAACATATCTTTTATCTCCCGTCTTGCTAAACGTCTGCTCATACCGAGGTATTCAATGTGGGCGTTGGCAGATACGATGACAGACTCGGATAAGCAAGGGCATTTGCATGTATCATTACAGCATCCTGTCTGTCCCATCTCGAATCTGGAATTTCGAAGAATGGTGATAATGTTACTGGCTACTTCATGCACCTCAGAACATTGAACATCCATATAATTATATTTTCCGAAACCGAGATTTGAAATATTTTTAATAGGGGGCCTTTACACATAATGCAGCTTTAGACCATTACAAAGCCCAAACACGACAAAGCCCAAACACGACAATGTCCAAACACGACAATGCCCAAACAAGACAAAATCCAAACACGACAACAATATTATCACTTCGCCTTAGGAGTGTTCAAACGCTTCCGGTTATGAATCATGAAATCTGCTTCTCATTTCCGTTGCGCTTTGGGTTAAGTACCCATCTCTCGAGTCAGGTTCTAATAACTGTCAGAACTAATGAACCCCTTGTGAAAACGTCGCAAGCAGAGTCTCACAGACATTTATGGAGACTCACACGGCTTTGGGGTAAGGAATCGAGGGAAGGGGGTAGGGGTTGGGGGGGGGGTGGTGTCCGATGTTCCTGGCGTCAAGATTTAATTGGTTAGACTCTTTTATAATCTACTCCTGGACACTACCAGTAGAGATTACTGTCTTGATTTGGACGCAATGTCTCGCCTAGTTTCAGCAATGGAAATGTCATGGTAGTAACAGATTGACTTTACTTTAACAGTTGTAGTCGCTGTGAGTCGCCGAGGTTGTATGGGGCGGAGTTATTGTAGGCAAGGAGCCCCAGCTCTAGAAACCTAGGGTCCAAAGGGCTGGGGTTTGAAGGGAATGGACAAAGAAACATTGGATGGGCAGTCTAACCCCAACTTAAGATTTGTATCTACAGATCGATTTGTTTCAAAATTATAAAAAACGCTTTGTATTTGTCAAATTACAGTTGAAATGTTCCTGCAATCACAACTTGCTATGCCACTTCAGCAACAGAATTGCTCAGGGCTTTGTTTTTTTAAAAATATCTCTCAGGCTTGTGATAAGTAATGGAACAACGAAAACTGAGTCAAAATGAGATGGAATGGAGAAAAGTTGAGATGAAATAATATCAAAAACCTTTTAAAAGATTTAACTGGCGAATTGTGAATATTCTTCTCTGTTGTATAATTAATTTTTTAAATCTACATTAATAACTCATTAATTATATGCGCGCTCTCTCTCTCTTTATCGCTCTCTGTCTCGCTTGCTCTCTCGCTCGCTCCCTCTATCTCCCACTCTTTTTATTTCACACACACACACACACACACACACACACACACACACACACACACACACACACACACACACAAACACACACACACACACACACTCTCTCTCTCTCTCTCCTTCTCTCTCTCTCTCTCTCTCTCTCTCTCTCACTCTCTCACACACACACGCACACTCCACATACATAACCACACTCAAACGCACTTACACACAACCACGCATTTACAAACACATACATAATATACTTACACTTACGAACTCACATCCCCCCTCCCCCCAACACACAGATTCTATAACTACTTCCATAAAGCAACGAAACATTCTTTGATCTTCGAGAAATGACCCAAACCCACCAGAAGGGTTACTTAGGGTTAATGGGCAACTCTTAAAAACTCTTTTTTTTTCTTCCGAAGCTGAGCTAGAGACGGACAGAAAGAGCCTCCGTTACTAGAAGTGGGCAAAATCCGGATAATCTATAGGATAACCGGATAATTCTCAATGATACATAATCCGAATTCAGACTCTCAACTCTCTTCCCAGAACCGTTTGCCGAAGTGGGTGCACCCATATGTTGAAGTAGTGTTAGTGCTAACCCGTTTGTCGAAGTGGATCTAACCCATTTGCCGAAGCGGTTCATATCATATTATTTGCCGAAGAGGTGCACTAACATATTATGATCCGGATCTTGCTAAAGCGACTCATTGCCCAGCCCTACCCGTTACCACACTGGGTGGGTCACCGCTGTGTGTCTAACGAGCCAAGAACATATGGGAGTCTCCTGGTGAGGTGGGGGTTAATGGAAAATGCCAGAAGATATTCGCTACCTTAGAATAATTACAAAGTTCTATCTGACATTTTTGGTCGATTTGAGTTACTAAGACTCTGGGGTCAAAAACCTAATGTTCTTTCTGCTCCATCAAAATTGCAAGATTATTTTCTGGGGTTATCAAGAAAAAGAACTGCATTATAAAAATCTCGACTTGTTGTGAAACTCAAAATTTTTTTAACGTCAAATTTATCAAAACTGGGCGTTGAGCAGGTAGAACGTTGTAATTTGGAGGTAGTGGATTGCTAGCAGTTTGGAACAATTCTATCTATCTAACTATCTATCTATCTATCTATCTATCTATCTATCTATCTATCTATCTATCTATCTATTTATCTATCTTTCTATCTAGCTAACGCACAGAAGAATGAGCATAGAATTCATGTACGTTACATTTTTTCTATAAACTCTTCTCTACCCCAGGTGTGAGTAGGCGTGAACGAAAGAGGCCCCCACCATGGACGGTTTCCGGATCAACTTCGGAGAGCTACACGGCGACATGAAGAGGTTTCTAGAGCTGGTGGTCTTTACCTTCAACAACTCAGCCCCACACAACCTTCGCCAGGTCACCATTATTTCTGACATCTTGAGACCGAACGATTCCATCTTCAAATACGACGCCGAACTGGCCATTCAGAAATTTTTTGTAATCCACGACCTGCTCAATGCTTTGTTGAAAAGGGGCTACAACCAGGTAAACGGACGTTTTTGCCGTATTTCAGTCTATCCTCACCGACCCCACCCCCTCCACTCTTCACTCCTCCAAAACACACATTAGTTTTAATTTTAGTAAGAGTTTTACGGCACTTGCAACACAATAAGGTCATATAAGAGCCAAAGATTAGAGGTGTTACAAGAGAGTAACAAACACAAAAAAAGAAGTAGGGGAGATAATCACGACAGATTTTTTTATAGGAAAGAAGGAGCAAACTACACCAGACCAGAGCACCCGCCAACTACCCACAAAACACAAATTTAGTAAAAGGATGTTTTTGTTGTAGATTAAGTCTACCCCCCCAAAAAAAACAACAACAAACAAACAAAAAAACAACAACACAAAAACCCAACAAAAAACAACAACAACCCAACACCCCAAAAACAAAACAAAACAAAACAAACCCGTCCTCCTTCCCATAAAAAACGCGAACAAACCCCAACAATCCTCCTCTCCCTAATCCATGGCGACAGAAAAGAGTTTCAGAGCCTGTTGCACGCATAGGTGGGACCTAGATTACAGAGTGGGAAAGTCCAGATTTGTGTCACGACACAATGGCATCAGGGGGTAGTCAATTTTTGGACGTATGGAGTTTTTTGTATATCCTTAAAGCTTGATAGTTAGTTTAGTTTAGTAGAGGGTTTTACGGCGCTCGCAACTGCATCAGGTCATATGAGCGTCAAAAGCCTAATAGTTAATTTTAGTTTGTTTTGCTTTTGATGAAAAAACAATACTTATTTGAAAAACAACAACAACCCAACAACAACTGAAGTTGATATAATATTTGCGACTGAAGGAGGTGGAGGTAGCCTGGTGATAGAGGTTAAATTAGTGAGAGAATGACCACCGAAGACTGCAGTGACTTCCAAATCTTACGAGTCTTTGAAAACTGCAAATTAATATGTCTTTTACACCTTTGGTCAATACTATTCAGTAAAATCCACACAGATGTGTGTTTTCAGATGGGCATAAAAGGTGATGTGAAAAGAAAATATAAAAAATTGCCCAACGGCAAGAAAATGTCGATTTTTCGATTTTATAATTTTGTCGACCACATGATTCCACCTCGATGGGATACATTTTCTTTTGTTGAATATCTTTGTCTGTCTAGTTGGACGCTGAATCTCACCATTCCACTCATCTAGGCTTATCTCAGACAGGCGGGGTCAGAGTAGAAGGTTTTTTGAATGCCCTAAACTGTGTCGGCTTCTGGGAGGGGAAAAACATTTTTTTTTGGGGGGGGGGGGGGGTTTGGTGGGAGGGCTCCATTCGATCAGGTCTCGTTCAAACTCATTTCGAGTTTCGTTTTGTACTCTCGTTTCATCATAATAGAAATTATATTTCACCTTTACTCTTTGTGTCTTATAGCTCTCCAGACCTCATCTTACTCCTTTTCATCTTATCCTGTACGACGAGAAACCTCTTCTCTCATTTTGTCTTATCTAATCTGTCCTAATGTAAACTCTCATAATCTCATTTTCTTGTATCCCTTCTCACAGAATCTCAGGTCGTCTTATGTCATCTTATTTATTCTTATCTTTCCTAGTCTTATCTCTCACAATCTCATATTTCATCTAATTTTTAAAGTATCTCATCTCTCATAATCTCATGTCGTCGTATGTTTTCTTTCCTAATCTCATCTCTCCTTATCTCACCTCTCCTAATCTCATCTCTCCTAATCTCATCTCCCCTCAGATTATCGTGAATTACCAGGGCTGGTTCGGTGAACAGAGGAACAAACTGCTCTGGCTTCTCGGTCTCGTCAAAATGTCTCTCATCCAACTCAGACTCGAGGGCTACAATGTCCAGGAGGACGTCAGTGGTAAGGCATATCGTCGAAAAGCTTTAGTATGTACGAAGCCCAGAAAGCAAAATTTTACAGGAGAGAGACCCCCCCCCCCCCCAGTATTATTCCTAAAACAAAATTTACCGCTATATTACGTTTTTTCTGGCTTTTTCCAACGTTTGCAATTTAAATTTCGACAAAATATTCCTTGAGCACATGCTACCACTACAATAGACTAAAGAACTGCAAGTTTCAAAAAATCAAAATGTTGGACTTAGTAATAATAATGAAGATCATTTCTATAACGTCCACTCCCGTGTAAACACAGCTCTTGGCGCTTTACATAAATGCAGGTTCGAACAATATTCACGCACGCGACACACACACACACACACACACACACACACACTCACACACACACACACACACACACACACACACACACACACACACACACACACACACCAACACACACACAAACACACACACACACTCACGCACACATCTACTTGCTTATCACACGCGCACGCTTACACATCGTTACAAAATGAGCACGTACACATATATAATAAAATAATATATACTATGCAATTAGCAAAAGACATAAATGGATATATAGTCATTTACATAAAATTGTACTGAACATTAGTCTACTGACATAAAAATGATTTCATTAAATGTGTCTTAAAAGATTTTTAAAATTTAGACTCAGATGTTGTATGTCTCAAGGGTTGGGGAAGATGGAGCAAGGTGGACTAATTGAAAATAGTATAGTAACAAGTGTATGTACCCTCATTCAACTAGTCGGATCTGACACATCGTGTCGGAAGGTCGAGCAGGCAAGAGTGCACATACTACTAAGCGGAAGTTAGTCGAAATAAACTTTGATTTTTGCCTGACAGTAAGGTTTCTCCCTAGTGGTTAATCAATAGCAGTAGACCCTCTACCAATGAACAAAGTCAATCTTATAAAGTGCCCATCCAATCTATCCAACGTCTATTTCGTGAAAGGAAAATAATAAGGAGAGGCGGAACTAAGGATTTCCAAAATTTTCCACTCTAAACTGCGAGAAGTATAGTGGGTCAAAAACTCTTTATCTCTTCACTATCGAACATAGACTCTCCAACTTTTGCACAATGACTTCTATCAATTTGTCTTAACAGGTGAATATATTTTCAAACACCTGTGTTCTAGAAAATGTCTTAATAAATACTAATAAATAATCCCAGCCGATGGTTTTTACAGATTTTAAAATTTTATACCTGGAACAATATCGCTTTTAAAAGCGTGTCGTCATTTTTTTCTAATCACAACATTATGCTTATTGAAAACATGTTTTGAGAACCTGTAGTGCAAAAAACAGGTTCAGTATAAAATTAATTTCTTGTAAAAAGTTGTTTTTTTCACTAAAAAGTGTCATTGCTGAGCTATGACATAGGATGCGTATGTAAAATGTGTGTGAGAAGTGGGAAGTGCTGTAAACAATGCCATTTTCCGCGTGACGGAGATTTATAGTATTTTATATAAATTTATAAAGAAAAGGTTTCAATCTAGAAAGAAGGGGTGGGAATGTAGAGCTGGGTGATATATAGTTTTAGATAGAAATTGGTGGATAGAGAGAGACACAAATGGTAATCGATTACATTTTATTGCAAATGTAGGACGAAAACATGTAGAATTGTGCCTGAACAAAAGTGAGACAAAAACGTGTGCACAGCGGTAAAAATCTTACTAAAACATCAAACTTAAAGGTGAACAACTTTTACAGACAGGAATTTTAAATTGATTGTTCTCTCCCCAGTGCTGTCTGCCGGGATAGGAGGTATCAACACCAGCACCCAGAAGGCCATTGGAGACTCGTAAGAATTTTGTCGATTCTTGAACTGTCTTGTTTCGTGTCTGTTTAAATGTCCGGGAGAATATGGGGCTGGAGAGAAGACCTTGGAATAGATCTAAAACCTCCTAGGGTGGGTGGCACTTGTGCATGTGCTCGACACGACATGTTGTGGGTGGGGGCCTCATTCTATAGGTCCCGGGTTCGAATCTGGATAGCGAACGAAAATTTTCTTCTTTAAAATTTTCTCCTTTCACAGCTTTTCTAGCTCTCTAACAATGCTCTGTCGTCTGCTTTTGCCTCCACTTTCTGCCCCCACCCCATCACCTCCTTTGTACCCTCTTCTGGGCCTCTGACTCTGTCTGCATGTTTTCTACTTCTTCTCCTTGGCTCCTTCTTACTGCTGTCTTTCAGCCCCACCCCTGATCTTATGGTAGGTAAGATCTACACCAAGCCGTCTCGGACACGAGCGAAAAATCTCGGAGGTCCGATGTGCAAGTTGCGCCCGTAAAAGCTCCCTTGGTGGTCCAAGATTGATAAGAGTAGACTTCGGCAGCCAACCGGACAAAATTCAGAATTTCTTACCTACTGAAAATGTTTGGTGTGTCCCGCAAGCTCATATAACCTTATGCAGTTGCGAGAGCCATAAAACACTCACAAAAAAGTATCGTGAGTGTTTATTCTGGATATAAATTGAATTTGGTGTAACATAATAAACTGCTATGTGTATTTGGATACTTTTGTGAGTATAATTTAATTGATATAGATAGATGAGTAGACAGACAGACAGAGAGATAGATAGACAGAGAGATAGATAGATAGATAGATAGATAGATAGATAGATAGATAGATAGATAGAAAG